ACACACACACACACACACACACACACACACACACATCTACTTGCTTATCACACGCGCACGCTTACACATCGTTACGAAATGAGCACTTATAAGTGCATAATAAAAATAATACACATAATGCAATTCGCAAAATACACAAAAAATCTGCCGAGATTTCCCCCTGCCTTTACAGACCAACAAAAGGCAACACCTTTGGATCCTTCCTCGTCGCTGCACAAACCGACTCCTCAGCTTTGCTGACACACGCCATCTGACCACTGTGGACCTGTGCCGGACTGACCGCTGGCGCACTCAGTGAACTGTCAGTCATACTTAACTTTGGTATATTAACTGTTCTATCAGTCAGAATGAAATTTGGTATATTCACTGTTCTATCAGTCAGAATGAACTTTGGTATATTCACCGTTCTATCAGGGGGCTCTCATTCAAAGGTCCCGGGTTCGAATCTGGGTAGTGACCGAAACATATTTTTCTCTAAATTTGTCTCCTTTCACCTCCTTTCCTGCTCTTTAGCAAGGTGCTGTCGCCTGCTTTCGACTCCTCTTTCGGCCCCCACTTCCTCATCTCCTTTGCTCCCCTACTCTGGGCTCCTGGTTCTTTCTACAGCCATTCTACTGCTACTCCTTGGCTTCTTCTTACTGCTGTCTTTCAGCCACACCCCCGATCTTCTGGTAGGAAAGATCTACACCTAGCCTTCTCGGACAGGGGCGAAAAATCTCGGAGGGCCTGTGTGCAAGTTGCGCACGTTAAAGATCTCTTGGTGGTCTAAAATCGATAAGAGTAGGCTTCGGCCGCCACCCGGGCAAAATTCAAAATTTCCTACCAACTGAAAAAGTTTAATGTGTTCCGCGCGCTCATATGAACTTATGCAGTTGCGAGCGCAGTAAAAACACTTACAAAAACAAAAAACCGTTCTATCAGTCATAATGAACTTTGGTATATTCTCTCTCCTCAAATTTTCTGACAAAGTTCATTATCAATGATGAAGCTGGCGGCGCTTGGTTCAAAGCCAAATCATCCGAGGAGTTCTCACCTGTGGCACTTGGCCCACAGAACTGAAGGGTCTGCCTCCCTGCCTCGTTCCTCAACACTCTTCAGCCAACCATCACTTTCTATCTGTTGGAGAAAGAAATGTTTAAAATCATGATTAGTGTCATTGATACCGATAAAATATTCCCACTAAATACAGAAGAAAAAAAATCTTAAATTTACTTTTAGTGAGTGATTTACAGTACTTGCAACAAATTGGATTTCGTCATTTTCCAGTCAGTTCGGTAATTTTTATCGAATTTTTCTTCTTTTTCTTTTGGCGCAACACCTTTTATGTCCATTTAAAACCACTTTTTGTGTGGATTTTACAACTGATGAAAATTGATAAAGGCACAAAGAATGCCAATTTGCAGTTTTCAAGGGCCCTCAAGCTATGAAAGTCACCACACTTTGGTGACCGTTTTCTCGCCTCGGACATCAAGCGACCCACCACCTCATTCAATCGCAAACTGCTCCACTTCTATTCAAGGTAAGTTTTTCATCTAAATAATTAGACAAATGAACAATCTATATACCTTAACACCAAAGATAATTTCTACATGCCAAGAAACTGACGATCGCCTGATTTTCCTGCATCATTGCACAAAATAGCACATCATACAGAAACGTTTTCTGGAACAAAAAGGACACTACCTTATTCCCTGCTCTGGCCTCCAACCATGCTTCAAAAACTTTCTTCTGGGCCAAATCTGGATATATCTCAATCGGCCACACAGCCATAGGGAAAACGTACAACGGAATCTGTATTTGTACTGGAGGTCTACGCTGTGGTCAACCGCTAGGATCTCCTCTAGCAACGAGGCACCGCTCTCCATCAGTTTTACCAAGTCGCCAGGGGTCAACCACTCCTTCCGGAGCAGCCATTTCTGGGGACTCAAAGGTACAAAGTTCTCTTGTCAGTTTTGTTAGTGTTTGAGCGCTCAATCAGCAGCTCGCGACCTCAGGGCTCTCTTGTGTCATCTCCATTTTTTTAAACATTGAAAATGTGGCTTTTCTTAAGGAATACCACGGCAGTAGCCAACAGCGAGAAAAAAGTCTATTTTGATGTCCCAAACCAATTTTTCTCTTTTGGATCAATTTAGTAGAGCAACAGCTGCTCTATCGATTGGAAATATTATTTTCAAGTGTCTAAAACATCTATAAAGTGTTCAAAACATGCATAAGAGATCGTAAATTATGCAAGGTTTTGGGTACATCGGTAAAAGTAAGCATCTTGCATGGCGGTTGAAGGGTTGTAAATTATTCACACCAAATGGGTGAGGGCGTTAAGTCGTGTTCACCAGTTTAATAATTTTACCAAACAATCCATGCTCCTTTCTTCACTTTCTGTTTTTTTCTTTTATTCTTTCTTTTTCTTTTCTTTTCCTGCCTCTTCTGTCCCCCTTCTTCTTGAACATTTGGAGTT